TTTTATTTTGATGACTTTTTTGTTTCTGTTGTGTTTATTTCCTTTTGTTTGTATTTTTACCCTCCCCCTGTTTTATTTACCATTTTCCTTTGGTTTACTTCTTACGTGTTTATTGGTTTTATTTTTTCCATGTTCACAATTTTTGTTTTTGCATTTTGTGCCTGAATTTAAAAAAATATGTATAGAAACAGGCCAAGTCTTATTCATTATGCCATGGTGGCTATCTGCCACCATGAGTGAAAATTTAACTACACCGCCGGAGCAGGTGGAAAATACGTCTGCACCACAAAAAAAAGGGCTGGGCGGAGAGTGGCCCAAAGAAGAAAAATACCAAGTATTATGAGGAACAATGTGGTAAATTTAATAAATACCTACAAGACAATGAGTTCCTCACCATTCTGGAGGCCTTGGAAGCAGTGAAAATCAAAATCATATCTTTGCTGACTACCAATGTAAAAAGCCATAGACTTATTGGAGTCAGCAAAGAAAGCATGGAAGAGGTGTTAAAAAGCCTCAAAATTATGCCTAAGTTGCTAGCAAGGAGAAGCAATGTGATGTGGGATCTTCTCAGCTCCGAGCAAGAAGCTAAACAGCTTGCAGGCAGTATCCTTTTAACATCCTCTTTACGATTCCAGACGGAATATATGAGTACAAGGAGGACAAAAATAATAGTACATGGCGTACCAGTAGACATTACAGAGGACAGGATCAGAGCCTTTTTCTCTAGATATGGTCCAATTGATGACATGAGTGCTGTTAAAAGCGGGAGACATGGTTCTTCAAGTGGTCCTCACAAGACAGACCTTTTTGGACATCCCCAATATTCTGACGTGCCAGGACAAAAGAATCTTTGTCGTTGTAGAGGGAAGGAGGCCCTGTTGTTGGGCATGTAATGCAGTGGGGCATATGGCAAAGTTGTGCCCTGGGAAGAAGGTGGAACAGCCTATGAAAATTACACCAACACCAGCAGCAGCAAAAGTGGTGGTAGAAAAGGAAAAGGACCCCCAGGGTGTCTGGACTGAAGTGAGGAGAGATGGGGGGGGGGAGTGACAAAACCACACTCCCCTCAACAGCAAGTCACACAAGCACTGGAAAAACCAGCATGGCAGGAGCAGCAGCAACAACAACAGAAACCCCAGCAACAACAGAAACCCAGCAACAACAACAGAAACCCCAACAACAACAACAGAAACCCCAACAACAACAACAACAGAAGACACAGCAACAACAACAGAAACTGCAGAAATGTCCTGCTGCTGGATTAGCCTCCTGTATCACTCCCCCAGTGCTGTGATGCAAGTGAACGGGAAGCTGTCAGGTGCTTTTGCGCTGTCTAGGTCGATCCGTCACTGTCACCCCTACTTTATGTTTTGGTGTTGGAGCCTCTCCTTCACCGGCTGAGGTACAGGGTGTGCAGTCTGGCCCTACATGGAATTGCTGTTCCTGGAGGGGCTTGAGTCAGAGTTTCTGCATATGCCGATGACATATCTGCTTTCGTGTCATCCCACAGCGACATTAAGGCAGTACTAAAAGCACTTGATCGGTATGAAAAGGTGACAGGGGCCAAGATTAACCTCGACAAGTTGTCCGGGTTGCAGTTAGGTACCAGGAATGGGGTCGATCTTCCGGGACCCTTTGGTTGGATGGACAGTCCTGTTTGCATTCTTGGAGTGTGGAGCAAAGGTCAACGCTGCCAGTCAGACTTGCCGTCGACAGAGGTTGTCTGTGAAGTGCAAGGCAGAGGCGTGTGCCACTTATGTTTTCCCGATTGTCCTTTATTGATTGTCTACACTTCCCCTCTGTAAAGACCATAGGAAGCTGCTTGAGTGCTTGCCATCCTCCATTTTATGGAGGGGACGCAAACATCAGATCGACATCCATGTCATGCGGGGCTGGGAATGCCACACCTGGTGAGCCACAAACTTGCCTTGAAGTTGGCTTTCCTACACCATGCACTGACGGGGGATTTGATTATGGCAGGGATTGTTAGGGATGCATTCCCTTTCCTTACTATCAGTCCCCTCAGCTCACAGGTTGAGCGCCATCATAAACCCTGGGTTCAATCGGATTTCCTTCATGAGTGTTGGTCTGCCTTGTTGGCTGTTCCTTGGTCCAATGACCTTTCTCAGGCTAGGAAGGTCTTCTATCAATATTTAATGGAGGAGGTCATGAAGGATCCTGCATGTGAGTGGCTCAACATGTCGGAGGAGGAGTTTTGCTCTTTCTGGTCTTGGGTGCCAGCAGCGGATTATCTCAGTAACCCTGAGTTTTCACTTATCTGGCGATTGGCTCGGAATTGGCTGCCTCTCAACGACATGGTCTTCATATGAGGCTTGGCGGATTTGCCAGACTGTGAGTGGTGTGACCCTGGTTTAGAAAAAACAGCTTCGCATGCCTTCTACCATTGTCGTCAGGTCTGCCACTTATGGGACCATGTTGGTGAGTTGATGGCTCGTCTCGCTCCCAAACAGCTTGTTCTCATTGATTGCACATACACATCTGATTATGTCACCCCCATTTTCTGGGGTGAAACAGATGGTGTTTCTCATGCTGCTGGCCATGGCCTGAATGGTGATTTGGGCGATGCGACAGGAGTAAGTCTTGTGAGGCAACCATCTTTGAGCATCAGCTCAAGATGAAGATTAGAACTGATAGAAAACACTTGCATTCGACAGTCTTCAGTGAAAGGCGGGTGACTGAGGTGAGCTTGGTTCATTTGAATGGGGCTAGCCTTGATTTTTCTCTTCTAGGTCAACCTACGTCACATCGGGGTGGTTTCCTGCAGAGCCCTCCTCTTGGTTAGGTTAGACAAGCCTTTGTGTACCTAGTTAATGTGAGTAAGTATTATTCCTGGCCTGTTCCTGGCTGCCTCTTTGATTATGATCCAAGTAGAGATTCCCAACCTCTCCAGTTTGTTTTTGGCCCCCTTTTGATCTCGTCAGCTTTTTATTCCCCATGTCGTCTATATTTTCACCTTTCCCAATCCCTTAGTGAGAGAGCTTCTTGGTTTTGTACCATGGGCAAAATACAGCAGCCTCTGAGTTGATTTTGTGTTTATGTTTAGTTTGTTTTGAGGTTCATTCTCTCCCCTTTCATTTTTCATCATAAATTTTTATATATAATTATTTATTATCATTAAATTTTTATGGAATGGGGTGCATTTGGTAGGACCCCCTTGTGAGGATGTGGTATTATGGTGTATGGAGGATTGATTGGTGACGGATGAGTTTTTGTGGTGAATTGGCAAATTGTAATGAGTGAATGGGTCTTGAATCGGATTAGCTAAGTATAAGATAGATAGTGATGACCAGCCTCAACCCCCGCCCCCTTTTTTGGCCTTGTGCTGTAATTGTGTATTTTGCACAATAAATAATCCTACCGCTCGAATGTACACCTCTATCTACTTATTTCTAACACTCTTGCTTTGTATATATCTTCAATATATTTGTTCAACCTACCTTTGTCTTTTGTGTCTTTCTTTCTGGCTCCTAAACAGGCCACAACACTATCTCTTATTGACATAAAATTCAGAGGCGACTGCGTGGATATGTTCAACTGTTATCAGTGTGACCTTCGTCTACAGGAAATGACTTACCATGTTATTCTTGGGTGAAAAGAATAGTCTTTCTGATGTTGCTAGCCGTGGTAAGAATGGTAGTGAGGATGTTGCAAATGGAGGGAATATTGAAATATGAATGCTATTCTCATCTAGATCTGGTTGAATTCTTTGGGCTGAAAGATGAAGATCTGAACTGATAGAAAGTGTTTGTTATCATCAGATTTCAACAAAAGGTGAGTGAAAGTGGCGAGCTTGGTTTGAGTGAATGGGGACAGCCTTAATTTTCTTTTTTCACTTTGATGCAACAGGGCAGTTTCCTGACGAACCCTCCCCTGATTAAGGTAGATTCTTCTTGTTTATCTAGTTAATGTAAGTATTGTTCCCAGCCTTTCCCCGGTTTTCTCCTTTGTTATGATCCATGTTGAGATTCCCAACCTTGTTTTTTGGCCTCTCTGTATCAGTCTTTGATTTCTCCCCCCTCCATCATTTATTTTTATCCTTCTCTCTCCATTAGTGAGTGAGCTTCTTGATTTTGTCTACAGGCAGAATACAGTGACTGCTCTTATTTTTGTGGAGTGGATGGGTTCTACTAACATCTGTTATGTTTAATTTGAATGTTTTGTTATATTTTAGTTTTATTTTTGGGTTAATCCTCTCCCCTCATTCCATCATCATTAAAGTTTTAATATATAAGACAAAAAAAGAGACATTTGAACTTTGAAATTTTTGTCAGGGTTTTTTTTGTAGGTTCCCTGTGAATATGTAGCATTGTGGAATATGTAGGATTGGATGATGATGGATGAGTTCTTGTGGTGAATGAGCAAATTGTAATGGATGAATCTATCTTTTTGCATTTATCTATCCTTCTACATGAGTTTAAAATAGATGGGGTTGTTGGAATAAGAGTTTTGAGAAATTTTTACAAATATTTTTTTGTTTTTTTCAGTAATGAAATACTTTGTTCAAGAATGCTTCCTTTATTGCCCCACTCTTCCCAGGACCCTAGACAAAATGGCTGACAGATTAAAAAATATACGTTATCTCCATCCATCCGTCGTGATCTTTAATGATCACCATGATACATGGCTTAAACCTTCTAAAGCTACTGATGTTGATGATATTCAGATGTTAATTTTTTCCATTGTCCAAGCCCTTATTTAAATTGTGGACTTTCCTACTAATTTCCCTACCAAAACTGAGCAATGACATATAAATTATATGAATGTATGTTTGTCTGTGTATGTGTGTGTACTATCAAAGACATGAAAACAATAAGTTATGTGTATGGTTGTCAATGTTATTAGATTCCATCAAGAATTACATGCATGCACATTTTGAAACTACCAGCTTAAAAAAAGTTAATTTTGTTATAAAACACTGTTTAATGAAGAAAAAGGAAAAAAATATTGACATGTTGAAGGTAAGACAATCATTCACTTACCATCTACAATTCCAATTCCATGTGTGGCATTCAGTAGGACATTTCGATTGGTTCCATCAAGCCAGGTAGTATAGATAGCGTACTCTGATACATCACTCCAATACACAACCTGCAAATAATATCAGAAATGGCTCAAGGCACGAAATAAAATTATTTCCTGATAACTTCATTGTTTCAACATGTCTACATTGATACCTATAGTAAATGTTGAGTTAACTTTCCTTCCTCTTCCCTATTTAGTATACAGTCATGTGACCCTTAACAACTAGTCAGTCTAGTCCAGTTGCATAAGGAACAATTTTAGGATAGACACTATGAAGAGAGGACCCATTCAAAAAAATCAACTACTTGTAACATAACATACAGGATTTGTGAATAACAAAAGAACTTTTAAAATATTTGCTTGCTTTCTTTTTGGGAATAAAAGTGAAGCCATGTAATACATTTGTTAGCATTTTCCCCTTTGATAAAATAAAACATTCATTTATATTTTTATAATTTCTTTCAGGTCATTCTTTACTATTTATTTTTGGGTAAATATCTACCTATGACAGGTACTATTAAGGCCACCTATATATATTTTGGTAAACTCAATACAAATGTAACAACATTGAAAGAAGCATAATCAAATATTAATTGTGAATTTGAAACTGACAATTTTTTCCCCTTGGGATTTGAACTTGTACCAAAAAGTTAACTACTACCACTGGTTCATAGGAAAAGTCAAATAAGTGTTAGGGGATGGATTTCAGGTAACATTTTGGGTGATAGCTCTTGAAATGAAGATATTCTTGGGTTAAACGTATGCTACATTTCTAGGGTAAAAGTACTGTATATCCAAGATAGAGTATGTGTAAATATAAGAAATGTGGATACTGATATCAACATCAAGTGGTGATAATCTTTTTCATGCTTAAATGCAATTTTCAGGGTAGGTGTGTTAGTTTATTGCTTAACTGTTTGTATTGAATACGTTACTCATTGGATGCTATGGGTAGCAGGGTCACTATTTCTGGGTTTTGCATTATTCTAATGACTACTGAATAAGTGTAAAAGTTTATTTATATATATATATATATATATATATATATATATATATATATATATATTGTTGGGCATGCATTGTTGATTTCCATGTTCTCACTATCTCTGTGTTTATATATATATATATATATATATATATATATATATATAGAGAGAGAGAGAGAGAGAGAGAGAGAGATAATATAATAATAATATAATACACACACATATGCACATGTGTATATACTTGTGCGTGTGTGTATATGCATATATTTGTGTATATTTGTGTACATGTATGCATGTATTTGTATATATGCTGTTTTTTTGTATGTTTGCGAGCATATTTTGTTTGGACATGTGAGTTTGATTGTTTTTTTGTATATGTATGCATATGTGTGTGTTTGTATATATGTGTGCGTATGTATATATGTCTTTTTTCGTTGCTTTGTCTACAGCCTGATATGTGTATTTCAACTATGTATATGTATGCATCGTACATATACATGTTGATTTCTTACCTTTATTTGATCCCCTTTTTTATCTATATGTTTGTTTGTGCATGTAAAATATTGATAGTTGGTTTGTGTTTTTTGAATTTTTCCTTCTTTTGTTTTGTGCGTGAATATCTGTTCTTGTATTTGTGTGCTCATATATTTGATTATTTTTATGTGATTGTGTATTAGGAAGTGAATGTGTATGTCCTGTCATTTGAAAATTCCCTTTCCTATCTATTATTATTTAAATCCAGACTTGCATGTATCAAATACGTGTAGCAATTGTAGATACTTCTTACATTAGTGTCAAACTTGACTGATAGATTAGCACTTCACTAAGAATAATAAAATATATTTTTTCTCTTAGTTTTAGTTCTGAATAATTTTGTAATAATATTAAAGTTGATACTAAGTTAAATTTAGAATTTGACATTTTTAATTTTTAATTTTAAATTTAACTGTGAAATTAAGACTTAATTTGTTATATTGATTTCTAAATTAATCTAATCTTAACTTTAATGAACTAATAGATTGTACTTAGGTTATGTTGTCACGTTATTTTGAATTACCATATACTCATATTCTGATTGGTCATCATAGGTTATCTAACAATGTTTCCCCTACTGAGTGGGTTTGGTTGTTTTTTGAACTCTTAAAACCCTTTACTTTGCTATCAACACCATCACGTGATAAGATACCAAAAGTGTTGAAACAAAATTGCAATTTTTGTAGTGATGTTATTACATATATATGTTATAATTTCGAATAAATATTATTTGCTCTACGCTGTATTGAGCACTATTTTAAGAATGGTGTTTTTGATTATCAGAATTTTATTCCATCTGCACACCAACCCTGCATTGTATATATATATATATATATATATATATATATATGTGCGTGTGTTTACATACAGGTATGTAGCAAAAAAGCACATAAACTAATGAGGAAAAAGTTATTATTTATTTATTTTTCAATATAAGTTTTGTTCCTTCTCAATGCACTTAATTCACTTATGAATATTAACCATATAGATCAAACATTATACATTGAAAAATTCAGATCAAAATTCAGCTTATATTAAGCTGCAGACTTGGTAATGCCCCCACATAAACATGTGTGTGTATGCATATCTAAATCAGCTCACTGACTAGTAAAGCATAAACAAGTGGATAAAGGATTTTTTCTTACAAACAGATGCCGTTCAGGATGCCACATACTTTAATTATAAAAATCAATATATCAAAGTGTCTTATAGCAGAAAGAAACTTGTATATATGTAAGTTTGCCAAACCAAGAGATATGTTTATGAGCAACACTTTGTGATGCTTTCAATTTTAAAATATATAATATATATATAATATATATATATATATATATATATATATATATAAAAATGTTTTCTATTTGATGGAGCAAATATATGTAATAATATATATTTATGGTATAAATGCAGGTGTTAAGTTTTACTGTTAAATAAGAAAGTATAAAAATATTAAAATTCATTTTGCACAAAACTGAATTTATTTATTTTTGTTTTTTTGTGACCCTCTAATTTTAACCAAAAAATCTGAAAGTGGAGAATAAAAAAAAAAAAGCAAAAATAACGGCAAAAAAATCACCAAATGTCTAAAATTGCCTTTGGGCATTCTTTAAGGATAAGCCTAAGAATAATTTTTTATGCTTATTTTCTTCTCTCTTTCCTCAATTCAGAGAACTCGATCTACATTGATAGAAATTTTTAGCTAATCCTTGCTTGACAGGAGATTAAAATACAAGAGTTGGGAAAAGACTGGTGGGTAGAGAAACTGCTTAAAAAGAAAAGTGAAGAGGGGGAAAATATGACATTAAAAAATCTTTTAGTAAAATGAAAATTGCTTTCTGAATCTAAAAAAGAAAATGAAATCAAAAACAAAAGTAACATTTTACAGTAATAAATAAACCCAAGTATTGCATGTGCATTATTAATGGCAGCAAGGTGATATGCAGCTGCCCAGGCTGTAACGTCTGATTTATTAAAAAATAAAAATAAATGGCTTTAACGTCCTGAAGGAATAGCCAAGAAAGTTGTCCACTTCTGGTGCAGGACTGAGGTCAATATGGAAAAATGTGTTTTGCTGCAGGCAAAAGTTTGACAAGAAGAATGAGGGTGAATTTGTAGTGACTGTGGTAACCTTGCAATAATTCCTTATGACTGACAATCACTTTCTTCCTAATTTTCTGGGCATTTCTATAGTAAAATAATTTCCAATGTATTTACATTATACATATAAATGTCATATTCCCTAAGTAAAATTTGCATTAATTCTTAACCAGTTACAATCTTTTTCTTTCTATATGTTAGGCAATTGAATGATAAAGTGGAAAAATTCACTGTAATGGACATCTTGAAGGACATTATTGGACTGATGACGTGCTTCTACAGGACAAAATATTTTACACAGAATATTTCCACTTTGTCATTCAATTACCTAAAATTTTTTCTAATATTTAAAAATTTATATATAATTTTCTCTCTTTCTCTATCTATCTATCTATCTATCTATCTATCTATCTATCTATATATATATATATATATGTATACATATGTGTGTGTGTATATATATATATATATATATATATATATATGCAGGGAGCGATGGGTAAATTGTCACCATTTTATATTTCAATTTTTATGCACGTGCATTGTTTGCTTTTGATTTTGTCGACTGCACAGTATAGTATGGTCAGTTGGGCACTGTCTGTAAGGAAAAGAGAACCATGATGCAATTCACTTGACCAGAAATTTGGGAACGACATACTGTACTGCTTGGCATTTGTCCTGGAAGCTCCAATACAAACATTTCTGAGGACAGTGCAGAGGATTTGGAAAGAGTTGGATGAGTCTAATGATGATTACGAAGGTGTCTTATGGAAATGTTATGCCTCATTCATTTTCCCACAGGGCCTTACTCAACAAAGAGGCCTACATCAAATCCTTGTGGAGGTAGTGCTGCCCTGGGTCAGGAGGGTGGCTGGTGGAAGATCATATTCCTGGCAACAGGACACTGCACCATGCCACACAAGCAGGAGAACCCAATCATACTAAACAGTACAGCATACTGTTTCAAAATTTCTGGCAGAGTGAATTGCATCATGGGGCTCTTTCTCTCACAGAATTGACTCTACTAAATGAAATCAAAAACAAACAATGCACATGTGCAAAAGTAAAAATATAAAATGGTGACACTTTACCCTTCACACCCTGTATATGTATGTATGCATAAAATAACAAACAAATATGAAACATTTATAAATTCACTTTTATTAAAGCTTCCTTGAAGAATGAGATATGGAAAAAAAGAATTCTGGTATTTTTACTTTTGTGTTGCTTAATTTTCATGGGTTTTCATGTTTCATGTGCATTTGACTAGACTTGGAATCCATTCATTTTTTGAAACTTTGGATGGAAGTGTCATCTCTCCTTGAATTCTGAATGCCACAAATTACACTAATGTTTATTTAAAAAGTCCAATACATGTGAAACATGATTAACCAATGAAGATCAAACAACACAAAAATAAAAATAGCAGAATTTCTTTCTTCTTTTTCTCCATTCTCTGATGAAGCTTTAATAAAAGTGAAACATGTTAGATTGTTTCCTATTTGTTCTTTATCTTATCATTTTCTTGGATTCTGATCCCAACTCATATGTATGTATGTATGTATGTATGTATGTATGTATGTGCGTTAATCTGTAAGTAATGCTAGAAATAATTATTGACCACTGACAATTCTTTTCTTTCTGTTTTTTTAAACCATTTCTACAGTAAAACTTTAGTGATAAACTGTACGTATAATAACTTATTTCCTTTCCAACAAAAATCATTTTCTTCTTGATTTTCTATACAAATCTATTGTAAAATTAGCAATGTATTGCTATTGCAAAATCATTTTTACTAAACAGATTAAAAAAAAACCCATAGACTGTCAGTTATGTTTATCTTAATTCCTGACCACAGATAATACCTTCTCATCCTATTTGCAATATCGAATATATGAATTGGGTGGAGAAACTTGTTTGAAAACTAAATTCTGGCTTGAGAAAAAAGTCAGCCACATCTATCTTGTCTGCTACTATCATTCTGATCAATAATGATTTTAAAATATATTAACTATGTAGAATGTAATTTTTTGATGGGATGTACTTATTTTTGGACAGCAAACTATTTATATATTGGCAACTAAGTTCCAATGTTGTAGCCATTTCATCATAAATAATACCTGATAATGTCTGTTTTGATTGTGCAATGTTCCACAACAAGGAAACTCATACTTACAAACAGAAAGAGAAAATTGAAATTTTGGAACACATAATGAGAAAAGGGGACCAAGAGAATGGAACACTCACATGGCATAGTGAAGGCAAAAGAAGCAGGAGGAAACAGCAAGTAACCTACTTAACAAAATTGTGTGGATGGATTGGAGAAAAGGGACAAAAAGGAACAGAAAAGGGTTAAATGTTTAGGAAAGGAAAAGATAGAAAATGGTGGAGAGGCATGACCAGCTTCATCTTGAAGTGACACAGTACATAAATGGATAATAATAAGTAGAAGAATGTTATATTTTGTTTTAAAAAATTTCCTACCAAATTCCTTCAGGATGCTGTCAACCGTAACTTTCCACAGATTCCTTTTCTTCATTATTTATCAAGTACCATGCCTTTTTGGGGAAGTGGAATGTGGAAAGGATTTCCATTGCTTTCTCCTTAATTTGAATTCAGAGTTTTCTATCTCTTAGATTGGTGCCTATCCAATGCTTAGAGCCCAGTCTATCCCACTATTTAACCTATACATGGAGGGAAACAAGATGGATACATGCATTTCCCAAAGGCATTAGAGTTTGCCAATTCCACTTTTTATACAGCACCTGCATTTCTGTCTGTATTTGTCCATGGGTTAATAATATAATCGATTAAAGTGTTGGTGACATAGCAATTGTGAGGTCAGTCTCTGGGCAGAGTAGTGTAGACTTAGACTCAGTGGAAACAGGGCAAGTAATAACTGAGCAGTACTAAATAAGAACTAAGTGAGATATCCCTAGAGAAGAAAAGTGGAGCGAGAACAATCTATTCCTGTAGATTAATAAAGAATTCAATTTGAAATTCCTTGAAGATTATTTTTTTAATCATTTCAGCCCAGGCAAATCAATAAAGCCACTAAGACACATGTGGTTACTGAGTGTCGTGATAGAATATAAGAAAAACATTATTAAGGAGCAAGAACAATAAAAGAATGGGAATTAAGAAACCAGAAAATAATGATTGGCATTGCATAAAGATCAAATTTGCCTAGAAAGCAAGAAGTTGGAAGAGAGTTGCACAAATGAGAAATACAATAAAAGAAACTATTAGCATAGAACTTAGTTACATCTAGCAGCCATTTCAACTGTAAAATGATGAGACCCTACTACAAATCTAGTACTGTGCTTAAATTCATAAAGTCTAGGTATTATAGAGGAAAGTTCATCAGAACGATTACCAAGAAAGTATTTATAGAAAAAGCACAGTGAAACTATATTACTGCAGTAGGAAAGTGACTGAAGATGAAATGCTAGATTAGGACCAACAACATTCTTCTTTGGATTTTATCTAGAATCTCTAATATAGCAGGAGCATAAGATCATATGTATCAGTAACATTCAAAGTATGGATGAATAGTAGACTTATAAATATGTAAGATAGATTCTGGAGAGAAAAACTGTTTAGCATTACACAGTGAACCAACTTTCCTAGCAGTAAACTTAACAATTAATTTAATCTAGTCTTTCTACTTTATTTCAGAAGAAAATGTTAGTCCAAGACGATTCAATGAGTCACTCTCCTGGAGGTTAGCATCAGCCATGCTGATGGAAGTCAGAAAGATTAATAGAGAACTGTTTTGTTTTGGAGGTGTTAAAGTTAACAAGCCATTCCTTGCCCCAGTTCACAGCAGATTTTATGCCATTTCTTTAAAATCACTTGTCAATTTGACCTTATCAAATTGATATTACTATTAAGACAGGAGTAATTAGTTGTACCATCATCATAGATACCATGTTGGGAACAATATGCCAAATCTTGTCAAATGCCTCTGAGATGTCCAAAGCTTTAGCTTTACTATTCTTATCTAAAGCTTGATAGACTATTTCAGCTATAACCATTAATACATAAGAGATGACCTAGCAGTTGACTTATCTGA